CTGCATGACTGCAGGTGTGGACAGACCCGCCGTGACGGGCGTTTTATCGGACGCGATAAAACAATAGTCAGGTTTTGACGTTTTAACCTTGAAGGAACATTGGGTCCCCTCTAAAAAAGAGAAAAGAGTGTCCACAAGAGTATAGGGGTTCGAGTCCCCACAGATAGAGGCACAAGTGTTCAGTGAAAATATAAATAGGGACAGCTATAAGGTCCGAAGTTACAGGATAAAAAAAACCTTCTTTATCCCCTAGGGGGGAATAAGGGGGTACATTTTAATTTAAACAAAAAAAGCCAAGCAATTAAACTGTTGGATTCTGACTATTGAATAATAAGGATCGGATTAATCAGGGTCAGACAGCCACTTGGCTGTAGACACAAGTTTCATGTGGAGAAATGAAAATGATCAGTTGGGAGAGTTTCTCTTATATTGTGATTTAATGTTTTACTGGTTGTAGAGGTACTATAATGAAAAAAAATAAAAAGGAGGAATTGATTTATGAAGAAAAGGATTTAAGGAGAAACTCCAATTCTAACATGTTTGACTGAATCCTGCTGTAACTAGTGATACATTCTTCATTTAAGCAAATCGTAATGTTTCCCATTACTGACGTATTTAATGATGAGACAGATAGTGTAAAGTGTTGTTTGACGTGAGAAACTCCCACCACTGATTAAATAATCGTTACGTTAAAGGGGATGTTCATAAATTTGGTATATTCGGTGTCGTACATGTCCTCTCCGTTTGAGAAGCCACAAAGCCCCTCCCCTCTGCTCTTCTCTCTCTGCTGTCTCCCTCTCTCCGTTAAGGCTGATGCATACAAAATATATATTTTAGTAGAAAATCACATTAGAACACACACGTGATAATGGAACTCATGACAGGCCTTAGGCCTCCAAGCTTTCTGAAAAAAGAAAAGAAAAAAAAGGGGGCTCATGATAGAAGCAAGCATGTTACAGTTTCAATATTCCTTGATCAGAATGTAAGGTCATCAATGTTTATTATTAATTCGCTTTTTCGGGTTTTAATTAACTATTGGTTTTAGCTTTGTATTGTATTAACACACTTGTTTGTGTTTCTTGTTTGTCTGTTTTTATTTTCCGAGAAAACCCTTCTGTCTGTTTCATTGGCCGATTGCCAAGCCACTGCCACAACTGAGCGCTGCCAAGTCACTGCCACAAAGGACTGTAGCGTCTCCCCCGACAACAGCAGCATCATCAGCTGCAGCAGCACCATCAGCTGCAGCTGCAGCAGCACCATCAGCTGCAGCAGCAGCAGCAGCAACATCAGCTGCAGCAGCAGCAGTATCATCAGATGCAGCAGCTAACAAGAACTTTTGAAGAAGACTTCTCCAGCCTCCATTTCTATTGGGGCATCATTGCAGCAAAGAAAAGGCCACAGACTTTTGCACAAACTGAGTGAAGTTATGTGCAGGAAGAGGAACGTGTGTGAGCCGAGCAGAAGAGCACGACAACACATTTGTGTGCGTCAAATATGAGACAAAGAAGACATGGAAAGAAAGAAAGACATCGGGACAAATAAAAAAAAAGATTGAAAAGAAAAAGACATTGCAAGAAAAAGAAAGAGACATTAACGGACATTTGAGGAGGACGTGGCTGGGCAAATGAAACAAACAGAAGCAGGTAATATACACAGACAACAACGCACCGAGACATATAAGACATTTAGGTCATACGTTCATAACACAACATTTAACTGCATGAATGATTACATGAGGGGAGACAATTGTAAAAGTCATTAGACTCTTACTTTAGAATGAGACAGAGGATTAGAACAGCAGTATATTTGTGCATGATTTAGATGAGTTTTATTATTAAAACTATTATTATTATTTAAAGTTCCAGACGCTGAGAGGTTTAGAATTATTGGTTTAAACGGCGTGATTTTGCTACAACAGACATTTAGAGCAGTGTTCCTCAACCTTTGAGCCGTGGCTCCTTTCGCATTTTAAACAATCACCTGCACACCACCAGCTGAAACTGGTGCTAGAGAAAAGCTGCAGCCTTTAATGGACGTTGCATTTGGTATAAAGTGGTTTATACAGCAATCAAAGTTTGAAAAATGATTTAAAGTATTTCTAAATCTTGACTAAAGGTGATGTTGGATCATTTCTGATGACACACTAACGCACCACAGCCCACTGGTTGAAAACACGGATGTAGAAACATTTTATGAAACCTTTTATGAAATGTTTCTCTTCCAAATAGATAAATTAGAAATAATTAGGACAATTATGTCTTTGATACAACTGTTGGCGTCCGGGTGGCCTGCGCCGTGCGCTCCAGCGCCTGAAGCGCAGCCGCACCAAAGAGCTCCCCCGGAAGCACCGGAACACTCCGGAAAGTCCTCCTACAGGGCTCAGTGAGGGGCGACTGTGCCAACCACACCTGCCGACGTGTCTGAGTGACGGTCGACAGCAGGCGGCCCAGTTCCCGCAACATAAGGGCAAAAGCGTGGAGGGACGCATCCAACAGTCCCTGGGTTGGGGCATCGACTGTAGAAACCTCCAATGCGTTTGAAAGGCCCAGTAACAAATGGGAAAGAGAGTTCCCCATGCGCCCCATTCACGCACCAGTATCGTACGCCCGACACAGCAGCTCATCAGTGAGGCGACACTGGGGGTTAGGGCACCTGGGATCAGACCGCAGGGCCTCCTCCGGCGAAACAATCAAGGAGGCCACCGCCGGCTCAACGGGCGGCATGTGGCCCAAGCCAAATTGGGGGGCATCCTGCATTGAAGCCAAAGCCCGGCCGTCGGACGTCAGTCTGGACATAGCCTTCGTATCCGTCCAGCATGCATGTAACTCCTTCACGTACTCCGTCGAAGGAGGTACAGAGACAGAGGGAAGGGGCCGCTGTCGCTTAAAGAAGGCGCTACCAGACGGCACAGTTCCCTGCGGGACATCAAGCCCCAAGTGGGCGAGTGCAGAGCGGATGGCAGAGGAAGCCCCACTCTCCTCGCTGTCCAGGCACCCCGTGGACGCCAAGGAACCAGCGTCAGAGGCCCTCAGGTCAACCTCCTCAGGGTCAAGACGAAAATGAGTGTCAGATGCAGCCACAGACATCACATCGTCCTCCCACAACGGGGCCAGGTCCGGCACAGGAGGGCGTACAGAGTGTGGTAGTACCGCACAATTTGAGCAGGCGTCCACCGTCAGGCCCTGTCTCAAATGCCCGATACCCAGGCACGCAGGGCAGAGGTCATGACCATCCTCGCGGGGCATCGGTGCCATGCACCCACGGCAGCCCAGCGACTCGTGCATAACAAGAGCGCCTGAACCGGTAGAGCAATGTAAGCAGAGTCGGGTCGAGCTGAAAACGCCACAGACAACTCAAGCACACAGAGAAAACCAAACAACTGAACAGAGGGCGAACAGTCTAACTGTTGGTAAAGAAAAACAAATGTTAGCATAAACTGAAAACAGAAGAGCTAATGCTGTAATTTGTCAGAATTCCCCCGCCCCAGAAGCAGCAGAGAGGCTGCAAACACAGCAGCCCTTCGTTCTGCAGGCCCTTTTAGTTCAACAAGAGACAAAAACCAATGTTAAAACAGTAATAGAAATGACAGATACCAAACCTGATTTCAAAAGGTTATATTGAAGACTTTGCAAGCAATATTACAAGATAACGGTCCGCGAACAGGTCTCGCTTCGCGTTCAGATAAGGAGTGGCCCCCGGGGACGTCTCACTGCTCCTTGTCAGAAGAAAAAGCAAAAAGTCCCCCGTGACCACTTCTGCACATACATTTATACTTTACATCCAAGGTCACTTGACATCACAACTGTATGGACCCTATGACTCCTTCTGGCCCGCTGCCAACGTTTGCACCTGCTCTGATAACCACTTGTCTCCCTCTTGTCCCCCTCCCATTCTCACACAGACTAACCTTGAACTCACTGCTCTTTGAGATTTACACAAACAAGTGCTAATTTGGCAACAGAAACAATACTAAACTGATTTTAATTTTAACTGGTCCAGGAGTTCAATATTCCAACACTAACGAAAGTGTACAAACACACAATGTGGGCCAACGAAAGAGTCCGGTGGGGCAGAGAACGCCACACACGCCTCCACAACCAGAGCAATATCAACAAACTGAACAGAAATCGAACAGTATAACTGTTGATATAAAAATACGCTAGTACAACCTGAAAACAGAAGACTAGACGGAATAATGCACACACGCACACAACGTGGGCCAAGTAAAGAGCCAGGTGTGGCAGAGGACACCACCCACGGCTCCCCAAACAGAGCAAAAGTAACACACTGAACAGAGGACGAACAGTATAACTGCTGATAGACGAAACAAACAACGCTAGTACACACTGAAAACAGGAGACTAGACGAAAATGTACACACAAACACAACGTGGTCGGGGCAGGGAACGCCACACACGACTCTATTAACACCGGCCAAACAGAGCATAAACACAAACTGAACAGAAAACAAACAGTATAACTGTGGATAGCAAACGTCAGCTCACTCCGAAAACGGAAAGCTTAAACTAAGAATCACACGCACACACGTGGACAGAACTCACCGGTGAGCCGGCGGAGCTTGCACAGCCCCTGAGGGGCGAGACCCACCCGCTGCCTCGACACGAGTCACGGAGCTGGTGTGCAAGCAGGACGTATGTGGTAGGTAGTTCAAACGCCCAAACACACACGCACAACTCAAACCTGCGCTGCGAGAAGAAGAAAAGAGACTGGGCTCTCGTGTCACATGACCAATATAGACTCACGGGGGTCACGAGGAGGTCACAAGTGACTGTTGTCATTTAATTCTCGAACTGCGCATGCTCAAAGATGATCATTCAGTGCTTAAAGCACTGCCTCGGCGGTCAGAAAGGATGAAATAGAACCGTTATTTTTTTAAATGTCCATATTTTTTCATGATGTCGGCGGGATGGCGCTGTGTCATTTGTTTTGTGTTCATGGCATTGACATTAAAAGTACTACTGAGCCATATCAACAAAGCTCATGGACGCAATCCTAGAGTACCGAGTATTTAATTCGTTCTACTACCACATCAAACGAAGACATGCATCCTATCTGGCTAGTGGACGCCCACCGGCGGTCACTTCTGCATTGGTTCACTCGGGATCCCTTGGAGATGAACACTTTGACATACCCATTTTCTCCGGCTGTGCTTTGCCCATGCATTCCACCGGCAGTGTTACCAGTAATACTGAAGCTGACCCCACCACCCTCCAAGCTAACGGGGCTAACGAAGCTAACGGAGCTAGCGGCTTCAACAACGCAACACTAGCAGGAACGACCACTGGACTAGAGCTGCTTTGAGAAGAAGGGGAAAGGCCCAATCAACATCTTGGAGCCCAAATAACCCCTAACACTGGTTACCTGCAGTAAACCGCCAGCCAAGTCTTTAACATTACACTTGAATATAGCAGTGCTGTTTCCCAGCCTCTCAAAGTTAAATGTATTACATAGATAGCAGTCATGCAGCACTAACATGATGCAGCCCATTATGAATTATCCGGGGGAGGGGTCTTGGGTCGGCGGGATTGTTTTTAACCAAACTGTAAAGCACTTTGTGTTGCATCTTTTGTATGAAAAGCGCTTTATAAATAAAATGTTATTGATTGAACAGGGGCGACAGTAGCTCAGTTGGTAGAGCATTGGCCTTTGGGCCTGGAGATTGTGAGTTCGATTCCCACCATGGGACCTACTCCAACTGCTCCCACTGATGACTGCTGTCGTTGTGTCCTTGGGCAAGACACTTAACCCCTCATTGCCTGAAGCCCCCCGCTGAAAGATCAAGGCTGTTTCACAATTGACGGACCAGCCATCTTCCTGTGGACTCACCCCCTGCAGAAGATCAGCGAGGGACTGGTGCTATGAGCGTTGGGTGGCAGCTCTCATTGCCACCCCCCCTGACCCAGAAATGGACAAAGGGGTTGAAAATGAAATGAAATGAACAGGGTGTTTTAGCTGGTAAATATGTATCAGATCTATTTATTTATTATGTTTTTTATTATGTCAATTGGATAATTATGTTGTAAAATGTGACATGATATAATCAATGAAGAACAAAAAGTGGGAATTAATTGGATGGGAAATTCAGATATGATGCCAATGGCTAAGATGTTTTTGGTTTTGTCTCATTTCTAATACAGGCTTTAAAGTATATACCTATTTGTTATCAGTTTTTGTAAGAGACACATCCACATTGAGTGGTACAGACCCTTGAATGTTGCAGGACATTTGCGTAGAGTGCACCATAAACATTATGTGATATGGAAACAATATTAATATCCAGCACCACCCATTCCATTAGGTTTAAAAGTAAAGGTAAAGGTGCATTTTATTGATCCCCGTAGGGCAATTCATCCTCTGCATTTGACCCATCCTGATGCCCCTAAGGCGGAGGTGTCCAAACTGGTCCAGAAAGGGCTGCTGTGGCTGCAGGTTTTCTATCAGACCCAGCAGGAGCAGAGCAGACTCCTCCCATTTCATCAAATCTTCAGGTTAAGAATGAACTCGATTGAATTGGGTGGAGTCTGCTCTGCTCCTGCTGGGTCAGTTAGAAAACCTGCAGCCACAGAGGCCCTTTCTGGACCAGTTTGAACACCCCTGCGCTAAGGCTTACGTCAGGAGCAGTGGTCGCTGTTGCAACAGCGCCCAGGAACCCATCTCATGTTGATGTTTAGAGGGAAGACACAGTGCGCCTCAAAACCACTGCTTGCTTGCTCTTCCAAGCAGCAACATCTTAGCCCGTGCGTTAAAAAGGATAGCCTATTCTGAACAGTTTAAATTATTTGATCATTTTCCAAAGGTGGTCATGCCAGTGAAACAATTTATTAATGTTTTGAATTTTCTTTGTTTCTTGTTGCAGGGGAATGTCAACAACATAGTGCCCTTTTGGAAGATCTGCGGAAGAAAGTAAACAATGTTTTTGAAAGACATGGACATACGGACAACATAGAGCAACTTCGTGATGAGACAATGGCAACAATTGATGCCTTTCCTGATCCTTTCGCCTCCCTGAGCACAAGTTACATGCAGGATCAAACTATTAAAGAACTTTTTCATCCAGTTGAACCTGAAGAGGTCATCATCTCACAAAAGCTCTGTAGAGTTAAGAGAGGTGGAACAAGGGTACTTAAAATTAGAAACATTTGTTTTTATTATGTGCCTCTCATCAAAAGTTTGGAACAGTTTCTGTGTAACCAAAGAATATTCAACATGATTCATTGCCCAGCCAATTTTAGCAAGGATGGCTTTCTTAAAGACATTGTTGATGGAAGCCTTTTTAAAAGCCATCTGTTATTTTCTGCTAAATGCGGAGCATTACAATTAATTTTGTATTCTGATGAAATTGAAATCTGCAATCCTCTTGGTGCACATGCTTCTGTTAACAAACTACTCATGTTCTATTACTCATTAGGAAACATAGAGCTTAAATATCGATCAAAGCTTCCAGCCATTAGACTTCACACTATTGCCAAATTTAAAGGAGCTTTACAGTGGTACAAAAGTCAAAACTGGAAGCAGGGAAACAAATATCTTTGGTGCTGTAATATCAGTGTGTGGCGATACCCTTGCTCAGCACAATCTGGCTGGGTTTAAGTCTGGGGTTGGTTTTGCTTTTAGCAAGTGTAGGCATTGTGAGTGTGACTTTGACAGTATGCAAAGCAACTTTGATGAGCATGATTTTACCCCAAGAACATTACAAAGTCATATCAGACAGTGTGATGAACTGGAGAGGGCCAGAACAGAATTTCTTTAAAAATCCCTCATGACTACCTATGGCCTTAATAGAAGGAGCAAACTTCTTGATTTCCCAGCTTTTGATTTAATCCGGCAAACCCCACAGGATATAATGCACGTATACTTGAGGGTGTGGTGCCCTATGAAATGAAATGTGTGTTGAAGGCTCTCATTTTGTCTGGAGATTTTGAATTGGACTCTATAAATGCAGGTATACAAGGATTTTCTTATTCACCTGTTGATATTCGTGACAAACCATGCCCCATTACTGTAAATACTTTATCATCAAATGATAAAACTTAAAACAGTCTTCAGGGCAGATGTTGGTGTTGATGAAAATATTTCCATTTATTGTAAACAGCATCAGTTCTAATGTATATGTCCAGTTTATAATAGGATTACTTGAAATAACTCAGATCATTTTTTCCCCTGTTATAGCCTTTGAAACGTTGGAAAAACTGAGGAGGATTGAACAGCACTTAATGAACATATTTTTTCACATGAGAAAGATATAGGCCCTGTGGGTGAAGTGCCAAATTTCCAATAAGTTGAGTCAAAGCTTAGAGATTTTCTAAATATTGTCGAAGTCCGGCATATTATTTCTGTCAAGTGGTTTATATTAAACGGCAACACTTACACAACTGGAAAAAGCTTGATGATTACAGACACTGATAATGGATTGCCTATTTTTGGACTTATTAGTAATATTTTCATTGTTGATTCAGTTTTATTTTGTTGTGAGTATCAAGTTTATGACACACTAGATTTTAATAGAAATTTGCTCTCATATGAAATTAATGTGCCAAATGTTGCTAAGGCAACAGAATTTATTAATTTGGAGAAATTGAAGGATTACACTGCATATCAAGCTGTGGTGCTCAATAACAAGACATTTGTTCCAAAAAAATATGATCTTGCATTGTGAAATTAAAATGTTTAATAAACATTGTGAATGTTGACTCTTGTTTACATGTATATTGCTTTTCTAGGATGTTTTTGTAACGTCTTTGACGTCTTGCTTGGGCCGACCCTCAACACTGGGTAGCTTGGTTGGCCTATTGCAAATACCCATAATAATGACAACAAATGTGACTAAAGAGGTTATGTGATGTCATATCAACAGCATGGCAGATAGCATTCCAGTAGGACAATAGCATAGCAGCTAAATATTTGGTTAAACCTGGTGGTAACTATGGCGACTGTTCATTTGGCTGCTGTTGACGTAATGGAATGCTATCTGCAATATTTTTGCCATAGAACATCCAATAGCCTCAATCCGACTAAATCTTAAAACAAGCAAACATTTCTTACTATAGACTAGTTTTAGCATTTGTATGAGTGGTAGAACTTGATTTTGTGTTAAATCTACTTAAAATAAGATATAATACCTATGAAATATGGCTCTAGAAAGAATAACTTAAAACAAGTAAAATAATCTTAAAAAGAATTTAAACTTCTAAGATTAATGTTCTTAATTTAAGTCAGTGTGACTTGGTTAGGAAATTCATTTTTGCAGTGTAGAGTTTTAAAGAATCCTTTAAACTACATAATTCTTTTAGAAAGACCTAAAATAAAGGTTTAGTTCTGCCAAAGCATCGACATATGGAGAGAGACAGCGAGAGAGCATGAGGACTAGCAAGATGGCGCCGTGTCAGGGCGCCGCAGTGAACGCTCTGGTTTGCACAATCTGTGTTTTGTTGTTTTTTGTCTGTGCCAGTTCACAACTTTTCTGAACTAGTTCAAGTTCAGTTCATACATGCTCAAAGTGAACAGTTCACGTTCAAAGTTCACATTTTTAATTCTGAACTAGTTCAAAGTTCAGTTCATTTTACTTTTTTCGTGAGATACTTAAATACATATGTTTTTCACACTACGAGCTATATATATATATATATATATATATTAAAAAAAATTGTCCACTCACCTTTGGCCCTCCACGGGCGGTTATCCCTCTCTAAGCTCGGGTCCTCTACCAGAGGTCTGGGAGCCTGAGGGTTCTGCGCAGTATCTTTGCTGTTCCTAGCACTGCACATTTCTGGACCGAGATGTCCGAGGTTGTTCCAGGGATCCGCTGTAACCACTCTTCTAGCTTCGGGGTCACTGCCCCGAGTGCACCGATCACCACGGGCACTAGCTTCGGGGTCACTACCCCGAGTGCACCGATCACCACGGGCACTACTGTCACCTTTACCCTCCAGGCCCTCTCCAGCTCTTCTCTGAGACCTTGGTATTTCTCAAGCTTTTCATGTTCTTTTTTCCGGATGTTACCATCGCTTGGAATTGACACGTCCACCACCACGGCTGTCCTCTGCCCTTTGTCCACCACCACAATGTCAGGTTGGTTCGCCATTACCATTCAGACGGTCTGTATCTGGAAGTCCCACAGGATCTTTGCACGCTCATTCATCCACCACCTTTGGAGGAGTTTCCCACTTAGACCTTGGGGTTTCCAGCCCATACTCTGCACAGATGTTTCTGTACACTATGCCAGCCACTTGGTTATGGCGTTCCATGTAGGCCTTCCCTGCCAGCATCTTGCACCCTGCAGTTATGTGTTGGATCGTCTCAGG